GCGGGCGGGGGGCAGGTCGTCGGGCGAAGTGTCCCTCAGATGGAAGACCACGGCGTCGCTCTGGCGAAAGCGGCTGCGGTTGGAAGTGACCAGACAGTCGGAGCGCGGACAGTCCAGAGTGTCCAGCGGAGGAACGTAGTCGGCCCGGCCGAAGAAAGTGGTCCACAGCAGAATCAGGCGGGGGTCGCCGGGTCGGCGTTCCTCCGTCGAGGCCTCCTCCCGGGGGCGGAGGGGGCCGGAGGGGAGGGTTCCGCCCGCCAGGAAGTACCTGTATACCAGAGCCAGGCAGCAGAGTCCGGCGGCGGCGAAGACCAGAAAACGTTTGGCGAACTTCATGTCGGAGGTCCTCCTGAAAGGCCAAGAAGAAAATTATTCCGTTACCCACGTCTCGGCTTAGGTCAAAGGGCGCGGGAATAGGTTTAGGTAGATTAGCCGTAGTCCATCGTGACAATCCGTAAGTTTTTAAAAAAATCAACCACCAAGAAATTACAGACCGATCGTTTTGGCACTGGCGCGAATTCTCCGTCGAAAGAATTCGGGATTCCCGGTGGCTGTTATTTCGGACAAACGACCGGGGGCCGCCGGTCGTGGTGCGCGATAGGAACTTTCGACGCCAACCGCGGTAAGTCCTACTAATTCGATTGTAAAAACCCGCTTACCGGTGGCGTCAACGAACCGCGGACAGAAAATTCGGTCAATTTTACGTCATTTCCCGCACTCGGTGGTTCCGCCGACTCCCGTAGTCCTAATTAAAGGAACTCTTTAATCTAATTACGCGTATTAAGGGGACGAATTAACAGACCATCCCAACGATCGAAAGTAACGAAACGCCGATCGTTGGTCCGTATAAGTTCTAATTCGGTGCCGAAACGTAACTGATATTTAGAAAAGGCGATTCTTCTCCCCGTCCGGTGGAGAATTTCCAGAAAGACCAAGATACGTTTAGGAAACACGTCAAGGTATTTACCGCCCCGAAAAGATTTTACGTTTGCTCGGTGGAAATACTTTAAAACAGTGTTTCCCAACCTTTTTCGTGCCGCGCCCCACCTAAATCTTTCTAAAATTCTTACGGCCCCCTAACATATACGGCGACTATACGGTTAACTTAAATTCTGGACGAGTTCATTTTAGAATCGCCCCCCGTGGGACGTGGGCTCCACGTTGGGAAACACTGCTTTAAAACGTTATAAATTCCAGAAACGTAAAAATCTCGGGGATGATTTTTTGACCGGTGGCCCTACTTTCCCGGCCGTTATTACATAAAGTTAGTTTAAAAATAAATGCAACGGGGCAGTAAGGATTAATGTAACCGCAACTATCGGTGCTACGTCTGTATTCGTTACGTTCTTTAATAAAATTATCTATATATGTAAACGAGGATGTTTGTTCTCTAAATACTCCTAGACCGTTCGACCAATTGCCACGGAACTCTGGTTACGTTTATATACCCCTAACTTAGATGATGTCGTACATTCCATCCCAGATTATCGATTGGATTTCTATAAATGAATTAATTTCTATCTATCGATACATTCGATTTGTTGGTTTTACACGTCGGTAAAAGAAATTTAACAAAATAATAAACTAAGTATAATTCTTACAAAAAGGATATTTTAAAAAGTATATACGGTATTACGTTCACTTAATTAACGCGTAGCACTGGTGCGCATGGAATCGAAAGTATCGCCCCGTGAAAAGTCCGAGTATAATTTTCCACATCTAACAACTCGGGATGCTTTCTTAATTCTAAAGAGGGGATAAAACCACCGGGCATCGGTAGTTAGTCGGGGGGTTCGGGCACGGCCACGAAGTTTTCCGGGCTTTTCGCCTTAGTAACACCTAAATAGGATCCGACTTCCCATAAGTCTTCGTAGAGAATATCTTAGCTTAACTCTTAAGAAACTGTAAGCTACCATTAGCGGCCGAATATCAAACGGTAATGGGCCAACCAATCAAATTAGAAGAATTAGGGTTAGAAGTACGAAATAATCTTAATCTTTGCTATTATGTTTCGCCCGGACAACGCTGGGCTCGTTCGCTAGTATTATAATAAAATTACAAAAATACGACAAAGTGACCAGATGCGAACTTAAAAAAACACATTGGGCTACAAGTGCCAGATATTTTACATTTAGACAATACTCGACAA